AGGCGGACCAGTGGGGTGACAGTGAGACTAATAAGGAGAGCTAGTGGAAAGTTTCTATTTCTTTTAGATGATTGCTTTTGAAGTAGATGGTAAAAGTTTTACCATTCTTCCTATATTTTTGGCACCCTAAGTCACATTTTTTTCTTCTTCCTTGTAAATCATTTATATAATATTTATTTTTGTATGGTATAACTAGAAACTAAAATATATTGTAAAAGATTTTTTATTGTGAACAAAATTATCAAATTAGAATACTTATTTTTCAACAGTGGTAGAGCTTGTAATATATGTATCTACAATACTTGCACCAGTGTTGAAAAAAGTTACTAATGTTACGAGCAAGAGTAATGTATTGGCTTCAAGGTTTTTGCTCATGGTTTCCTCAGTGATATGGTTCCAGAAGTATTCAGGTGGTGACAATCACTGGTATGAGTTTCTCTGCAGGTCTAAGGACATATTTGCATCAAATTTGGTGGAGCTTTTGTGATAAAGAGGACAGTGTTGTCAGGGTCCAACTGCCCTGGACAGAAAAATGTCTCTGGCTCATGAAATGAGACCTCCTCAGGGACCAAATATGAACTAACAGTCGTAACTCTGATACACAATAGTCTAAATTGCATAAAATGGCCTTAAATCAGAGTTTGGCAAGCTTATCAAATATGTTGCTTATAACTGGAGTGGGAAAGTAGAGGGAGCAAAAGCAAGATATTTATTAACCTCCTCTTATGTGCCAGGCACTATGCTAAGCACTTTACATAAGTTAGGTAATATAATTCCTGCAAGAACCATGTAAGGAATATTACTAGTATTTTTGCTTTATGGATGAAGGTGCTGAGGCTCTAAGAAGCTCAAGAACGTGAAGCCTTTTCCTTCTGATTTAGGTTATATGGGATGAGGTGGGAATGAAGAGGAAGGGAAGATGGAATTACCACCCTTAGGAAAACTTCCAGGCCTGACTTCATGGGAATTTGCCCATCTAACCATGTGGAGTTTATCTAGTCCTGACTTTGCAGGATGCCATTTGCATGTGTCCCCAGATGTTTTTTTACTTTGGAGGGGAAGGTATGGTTTCCTCATTCATTCCTCTTGTTAAAAGAGGAGACAGGTTGATCCTACATCTAAAGGTTGTATAAGACAATGAAAATTTGTTGTACATATCTACAAACACATTTTTGTGCATGGTCACTCTCCACTGGCACCTCCCAAGTACTGCATGCAATTTGAATAAGAGACGAAGTCCAAATGTTAGTTCTTAATGAGAAAGTGGGATCTCCAAAGCCTCCCTGGCTGGTGTGCAGGGACCAGGTCCACAGTGGTGTCATCTGCCACTCAGAGGGTCACTGTAAATTGCATACAGATATGGCTGTGTACACCCTGTATGCCTGTCAGAATGATGTTTTAATTCTCTTTAAAGGAAGTAGTTTGCTCATCATCCCCAGGCTTGGAGCCACGGAAGGGCCATTCATGTGGAAGGATCAGGACTAGTCATCCATCTGACTTTTCTACCACATTAAACCTTTCATTAAATCCCACCATCGGTAACGGCTTGAAGTGCAAAGGGCCATGATGTGTATATGAACTTACGTGCCACTTATTTATTTTTAGACTCCCCACAGCATTCATGTCAATATGAGATTAATGCCTAAATTTTGTAAATATTGTACATTTTGTAAATCAATGAATAAAGGTTTTAAGTGTATCTCATCAGGCTCCTCCCTGAAAATGCACATGTCAATCAATGATTCGGGCACCCAGGTTATGTTCAAGGCATTGGGCTTAGTGCCAAAGGGAACTTCCAGGAGCTCACTTTTTAGTTGTACAGACAAGAAATGCATGTATGAAAAGATACAAAATAATTCACTCATGCCAAATGATTCATGTAGACAGTAAGTGCTGCAGAAAATCAAAGGAAGAAAGATTACCAGACTTTTCAATCTGGTCTACAGTTTCCCTAGAATATTTCTTTGTTAAATCAGGAAATATAAAAAGATTTGTGTGCGTGCGTGCGTGCGTGTGTGTGTGTGTGTGTGTGTGTGTGTGTATCACTTCACTAACTTTATTTTAACATTTCTTTCTGATTTTAAAATTTTTATTCTTGGGGTGAATTTTGTTAATGATGATATAATGGAAAACATTTTCCCTTGATGGTTTCTTCTGCAGCGGGAAACAAATACTCGGAAAGTAAAAATGTCATTTTAATCTATACAATGAATTTATTATATTTTTCATAGTAAAATGACAGACGTTGAAAGTGACCTTGAAAAACTCCAGCTTGTTTGTGATTTCTGCCTATTCTTTAACATCCTCTATTTTGAAATTTCCAGGAAAATACAAGTACTTCCCAAAGTTAAAAGTTTTCTATTAGGTTCTGGATCAGTGACATGGTTGGGGCTCTTAAAGTGTCATTCTTATGTATTTACATTGCGATAGCTCTTATCACTAACCTCTCTGAATAGCTGTGTGTGTTTAATGTACACGGTACCACAGGTAGAGTGTGCTTTTAGAAAATCCGATTTTGTAAACATAGACTTACAAAGTAACCCAATTTGGGGGTTTTAAGAAAGATCCTTCACTTTGTAAAGGCATTTTATATCTCTTTCTAACACGTTTATAAGATTTTATTTATGAACAACATGTAGGGCATACCAGATATGGAAAACCTTGGCTACACTGTGGAAACTTTTATCTGAAATACCTAAAATGCTTTCACAAGTGTTCTTAATAAATTACCTTTAAGTTACCTATTAGGAGTGAAATATTGAAAACTGAGCATCTGTCATTAATCTGTAATTGGGAGAACTTGACCTTAGTGATTCAGCCATTTTTCTAAGCTTGCCTAGCAACTTGAGAGCGGGACTAAGGCCCGAATACGAAGTATCATGATTTTTAGCCTCGAGTATTTTCCACTGGAATCTACTAGAAAACAGGTTCCGATATTTAAATATAAAAATTTCTAACTTAAATTTCATAAGTGCAGATTTCCCAAATGTCTTTCATTTTTAGCGGTTACTCTCATTAGTTTTTAGATTCATGGCTTTCTCATTAGCAAATTACTATTATCTTGCAGTTGCCGGAATTGTATGGAGGTGGGGGAGGTGGGTGGGGATCTCTATGTAACTATATTTTAATCTGACTAGAGACTTAAAATCCGGAGATGGAGAAATGATTTCTGAGGGAGCCTCTTTGCTATTCTCCTAAAAGAACCCCCTGATTCTTTGTGTATGATTTTATTTTCAAAGCACTTTTATAGACATTGCTTCAGTTGGTCAACATGAGCCCATTTAGAGCTTTCGCAGCTAAAACTTGAGAATGGTTAAGGGAGGTGCCACTGGTGGTTTACACAGGGATTTCGATTCCTCATCTAGAACTCTTTGTTCCAGTCACACTTGTTCCCAGGATGACATGCATGATAGCTCCACCTTCCCTGGCACTTTTACTAAAAAACCATTTCTCAGGTCCAAAGTCAGGTAAATGGGACCTTAGAAAACATCTAGTCCACTCTCTTTATTTTATACAGGAGGAAAAAGAACCCTAGAGAACCCAGATTGTTTATCTCTGAGAAAGCCACACTGTTTGTGTTTAAGAAAAGAGAAAACTCCTCAAAATGTCCCTTCTTTGATGCTCAAAGTAATTAAGATATGGACAATGTAAAACAGTTTAAGGGTCTCCTCTCCTCTTCACACTCACTGTGGGACTGGCAGTTCCATGAGGACTGTCAGCATATGTCAGAGCAGAGGATAAACTTGGAGAGGGCAAACAAGAAAGCAAGCTAGCCTGATGAAAACACAGATTGTTCATTTTAACTTGAGAAGAAATATATTCAGTGGAAGTAATCATTTTCAGAATCATATCCTGAAAAAGAATGATTTGTCTAAATGAGAGATTATTACTTCTTCAGAAACGGTTTTCTCAAGTTTTATGGCATGTCCAGAGTCAGAAATTAGACTCGAAAGCCATATTCAGGCTTAAGATTCAGTCCTCCACTGAAGTCCTCCTATGGAGGCGATGGATCATTTTGTCAAAGTGAGGAAAGTGTATATGAAAAGCAACTTTATTCAGTTTAGGCAGAAAGAACCAAATGTCACCAGAATATAGCCATGATACAAAAGGAAGGGCTAAAAATAAGCCACATCCTCAATAAATTCACTCGTCTTTGAGAAGAATTCATAGTCAATGTACCAACCCCTATTCTCTCTACAGGGGAGTATGACTGCTGGGTCACAGGGACTCTGCACCCAGAGTGTGAGCATATCCCACACCCCGTCTGCCTTCCCCCTGGTTTTCACTGAGCCTTGGCTACTGGTCCATTTTCATGGGTGCCCACCGGCTTGGTTTCGCCTGCACTCCAGCGTTTTCCAGCAATAACACAGGACCGAATTAGCAGCTAGAGGCTGCATCCCACAGTGGCACGTGAAAACCATTTGTTCAAAGAGATGGATCATGCTGGAAGTGCTTTGCATTGAGGTGCTTTGGGTGAAAAGGTGCTGAGTAGACCTCAGTGGTCTGAGAGAACACATCTGGGCTCATCCATGACTCACTCGGCCTGGCTAGGCCTTGATATGTGTCAGAACTGGGCTTATCCCCGCCTTTAAGTCTTTTAAATACTCAAAGGGTTGGGCCCATCCCTGACTTTAATATCCTATTTAATTAATTAATGACCCTGTGTATGTTTTGCCACTGACAGAAATACCAAAGGTGCTGTAGAGAGACACGCCCTTCTTGATGCAAGACAGCCCGAGACCAAAGCGAAACGTGTAATCCAGACCTTTTCAAAACTCTTTCTTCAAAGTTAAATAATCTAAGAACTGAAAGGTCTACTAGCAGTATGAAAAATCTAGGAGAAAAGCTTAGCTAGTATGTTTGGGCCAGGCTAGGGCTGAACATATTAAGAACAGTCAACGTGAGTATCTAGTCAAATTAGCTGGCCGATTGCCAC